CGAATTTGATAATCGTTTGTTCACTCTCAAAACCATGAAACCTTGCTTGACTTAGCGTAGTTTCTTAATTTAAATTGCTATTGAGTACTCTAAATCTATGTGGATTCGATCCCTAAGTACTATTATTGACTGGTTGTGCACTTGCACCCTTAATTGTTTTATTTTGGGTAAAACTAGATTTCACCACTATCACGAACCAAACATTGATCCAACCACCGACTAATATACATTATCAAGTTGATGGATTATGGAAGTAGACAAATTCAACCTGAAGTTTAGGATGGTTTTTTATTCAAGGAGAACAAACCGTGCTTTTAGGTGTTCGATAACTAAGACGACGGATATCCTCGTTGCATTCAGAGATGGATGCCTTACTTTGGGCTATGTCATGTATGTTGGAAAAAATAAAAAAAGATTGGATTGCCATGATTTTGAGATAGATTGTTCAGATCTTGTCAACATCGTCTGTAATCCAAAGGAATGACCTGTTTTTCATCCTATTAGATAAGTTTATGCAGCTACACGGTCGTTTTTTCCGAATGAATGTTAAATTTCATACAAAAAAAAATCGGTTTTACGACTGCTTATGGTTTTTAGGTTTTTGAACAGAGAATAGAGCTATACGGTGAAACTGATAAAAGGCAGTTTGTTTGACCCGTTCAACATGTTCTTGAGTTATTAATTTTTTTCCTTTTGTAAGCAACTCTCCACCTAATTAAATTGTCAATTATGATGACATTTTTTAAATAATAATTTGGTTAACAAAAAAATGTAATAAGTAGTTTTCTAAATAACAATTGAGACAAAAATTCTCGAAAATAATGGATTATTTAGATTTGATTATTTGAGTAATAATTTTAGAGTTTTTTTAGAAATGCAAATTTTGAAATGCCATTTTTCAAAAATGGCACTTTCAAAATATTTGCAAAAATGCCACTTTTCAAAATCATTTACTCATTATATTATTTATTTTTGGGTTAACTATGTGGTATTAAGGTTTATTTTTTAGGGCTTAGGGTTTGTTAGGGGT